CGACGTTCAAGAATCTTCTGCAACCTTGGCTAAGTGTTTTCACAACCTATGTCATGCAGTGGGACAACGCCCTGGTGTCCAACTTGAACCTCAGCAGCTGGCCTTCGTGGAGTTGTTCTCACCTCCGAGGGTTAGTCCTCATGTCCGGAAGTTGGGCCTTCCAGTTTTGGACGATGCCGAGGCTTTTGACTTGACCTACGGCTGGGATGTGCGGAAGAAAGAACACCGTCAGAAGGCCAGAAACATCCTGAAGAAGAGGAGACCTAAACAGCTGATGGCATCACCTGAGTGCAAAGCCTTCAGCTCCCTCATGAACATCAACTGGGACAAGATGAACCCCTTGGAAGTCCAGCGCATCGTGGCTGAAGGGCAGCTGATGTGGAATTTCTCTCTCGAGGCCATCTACGATCAGCTTGATGCCGGAGGCTACTTTGGACTTGAACATCCTTTGCGCTCAGCAGCCTGGGGTTTGCCGAAGACACAAAAACTGCTTCGACGCGAGGACGTGGCCCTCATAGCCTTCGATCAATGCTCCCTTGGACTTTCAGTGAGCGAAGATCAGAGGCTGTCTCAGAAAGGGACAAAAATCGCCACGAACAACCCCTGGCTTGCCAAGTTTCTCATCCGACAGCAGTGCTCTTGTGTCGAACCTCATCGGGTACTGGAGCAAGGACTTCCTGCTTTAGCTCAACAATATCCTTCTGCTCTTTGTCAAGGCATAGCCAATGCCACATTGCAGGTATGTCTCGATTTACCTGCTCCCTCCTATGCCTTGGATTTGGACTTGTGGGCTAGGAAGGATGTCCCCTCAAATTGGACTTTCTTCGGGGACGATGAGGAAGACACTGAGCAATCTCCTCCAGAAAGTCAAGTGCCAGAGGAGACCAACATCGAAGACCTCCCACAAGTTTCAGGAGCCCAAAAACGATTGATTCACAAGGTCCATATCAACACTGGACATCCTCCACTTGAGAGATTTCTTCGCGCTTTACGCGCTGCTGGAGCCCTTCCCCAAGTCCTTCGATATGTCAAGGAAGAGTACCAGTGCGAACACTGCAATCTCAAGCATCGAGCTGACAACCGTCACCGAGCCCATTTTCCTCAGACGTTCGGGTTCAACAAGGTTGTTAGTGTGGACTTCCTCTACCTCCCTTTCAAGGAGCAGCAGATCCCTATGCTAAACATGGTGTGCACTGGAACTAACTACCATGTGGCCGTCCGAGCTCCCACAAGAACAGATCATGGAGGCACTCCTTCAGCTCAAACTGCCTGGAGGACTTTTGCCGGATCCTGGATCAGGTACTTAGGCTGTCCTGAGATGATTATCTGCGACAGCGGCAACGAGTTCAAGGGCGTGTTCGAACGCCACTGTGAGCAAATGGGCATCCTACAACACGTCATTCTTCCTGAATCACCATGGCAGAACGCAAAGGCAGAAAGACATGGAGGATGGCTCAAAAACAAGCTCGACGCCGAGATCAGCAGTGGCAGATGCGTCTTTGACAGTCTAGCTGAACTGGACGAGTACTTGGCAGCCATCACCTCTACCAAGAATCGCTGGTTTTGCCGAGGCGGATTCACTCCCAGTCAGCTTGTCTTTGGCCAGATGCCTCGCATCCCAGGAGAGCTTCTCTCAGACGATGTCCTTGGACTTCATGGACTCCGAGATGCTTATGAAGACCCTCTTCAAGTTGACCAAGCTGCAACTGAATATCGTCGCAGCCATGAAATCCGTGAGAGAGCCAAGCAGGCAGCACTGGAGCAGTCTTCCAAAGACACCATCAGAAAAGCCTCCCATGCTGCAATGCACCAGTCTCGTCACTGGAGAGTGGGACAATGGGTCTATGTCTTTCGACGAGCCAAGACCAACCAGGAACTGCATCTCAGGAATCGCTGGGTTTGCCCCGGATTGGTCACCCTGGTCAACAATCAGACTGTCTATGTGGCCATGCGAACCAGACTCTGGCGATGCTCAGCCGAGCAGTTGCGTGCCGCTCTACCCAGCGAGCTCCTAGGCCGAGAACTGGCTTCCGATCCTGGACTGGCCGAGTTGGTGCGAAGGGTCACGACTGGAGTCATGCCTGGAGCTGTCGATGTGTCCAAAGAAGGACCTCCTGACAACTCAAGTCATTTTGACCCCGTTGAGCGAGCAGATGAAGGAATCGCCGCAAGCGGTCCCATGCCTCAGCTCGGAGAGGCGTCGCAAGCACCTCAGCCAGTTGATGCGGTGCCTCCTGGACTTTTGCCTGCATCATCCCTATCAGCTCCTCTTCCACCAATGCCAGTCCCACAAGAAGACAGACCTGTCGTTTTCGTTCCTGCCCCTCCTGGACTTTCAGCCCCTTCATCCAGAAGGACATCCGTTGAGGAACCAGCGGCAGAACCTGGACAAGAACAGCCTATGGAACAAGATTTGCCTACAATCCCAGAGGACGGGTCCGATTTCGACTCATCTCCCCAGTCCTCCACGGGAGAGGCGACCGAAAGGCCCTCCAAGGCAGCACGAACCGAGGAGGAGACAACCCCTGCGTCTGCAGGTGAATCCAGAGAAGTTGCCTCCAGCAGTGACACGCGAGCTCCTGGAACTCCAGTTAGAAGACTGCTGGACACCATTCCCTATCATCGACGGCAAGCCTCGTCTCATCTCACTCCTGGTGAAGATCTTGAACCTGATGGCCGAGTGCAACTTCAAGCCAGGGAGTTTGAACAACTCAGACAAGATCATCTTCCCGACGACTCCGATCGAAGTCTTGCTCAATTTGAAGCAGAAGGCTGGAGTGGGAATTTCTTCAACTATAGCCTAGGGGATCAGACCTTGCGCCTGCAGCCAGATCAAACTTGGAGCTTGATGACCAAGCGCGGAGGAGAGGTGACCTTGAAAGAGCTGAACTCGGAAGAACGGAAGCTCTTCGAAGCATCTGATCACCTGGAATGGCAAGCCATTCTCAAGACCAAGGCCGTTCGTGTTGTTCACGGGGCCGAAGCTGATGCTCTTCGCAAAAAGTACCCTGACCGGATCCTATCCAGTCGGATGGTACGTCGTCGCAAGCCGCTGGACGAGGTCAACAAGTGGAAGGCCAAATCACGATGGTGTCTTCATGGACATTCAGACCCAGACACGTCTAGCCTGATGACCTATGCTCCAACTCCTCAAGCAGAGAGCATCATGATGTTTTGTCAAACTGGACTGACTTTGGGGATGAAGTTCGCTTTTGGAGATGTCAAGAATGCATTTTGTCAAAGCATTTTGTCAAAGCAACAAGCTCCGACGTCCTCGTGGGCCTTTGTTTGCTGAGCCTTGCGAAGGGTTATCTTTACCACCTGGCTCCCTCATTATCATTGAGGTTCCTGTCTATGGACTTGACGATGCACCTGCGTCATGGCGACTCACAGTAACTTCATTCCTGGTGGAGTCTCTGCAGTTTCAGAGGAATCTCGTTGAGCCGTGTTGGTTTTCATACTTTGACCCAGACTCTGGCAAATGCACTGCCCAGCTTCTTGTGGAAGTCGACGACTTCATCATTGCAGCCTCTCCTGAAACCTATGACTCATTGAGGAAGTCTTTGACTGAGCGATTTGAATTTGGTAAGTGGGATGAGTCCACTGCCGAATATGCAGGGCGCCGAATCCGATGCTTTGAGGATCGCATTCTGGTGGACCAGTACAAGTATATTCATGAGCAAGTGTTTCCCATTCAACTTCCTCGTGGCAGAAAGCAAGACAAGAACGAACCTCTCACCAAGGATGAGTTCGACATGCTTCGCAGTCTGATCTTCAAGATTAGCTGGATCGGGCGTGAGTCTCGGCCCGAAGCTGCCGGACTTTCCTCCATACTTGCGAGCAAGTTACCTTGTGCCACCATCGGAGACATTTTGAATGTGAACAAGTTTGTGAATCAGCTGCGCTCCACTGCCGATAGACCTCTGACCATTTGGCGATTTCATCCAGATAGCATGTGCTTTGTGGTGTGCAGTGACGCTGGCGGAATCAACGTGAAGGGTGACACCGAGATCCTAGACTCTGAGGGACTGCCCACTGATGCCACTCAAGGTGCCTGGATTGTTTTAACCACATCAAAGCTTCCTGAAGGTACCGAAAAGGTAAAGGCAAGTCCCATGACATGGAGGTCATCCAAATTAAAACGTAAAGTATTTTCCACTTTCGGGGGTGAGACGCAGGCCATGCTCCAAGGTATTAATGAGGTTGATTGGTTGCAAATCATGTATAGGGATGCTGTGCAACATGATGTGAGCATTAGGTCCTGGCGTAACTCTTTAAGCCCTCATATGGTAGTCATGCGGGGTGAGTGTCGCATGGGCGGTCGTCAGCAACAGTGCTCAGTGACGGATGCAAAGAGTTTGTATGACTGCTTGTTGAAAGAAAATCCGTCAGGCAAGCAGGATCGAAAGTCATCGCTGGAATTGGCTATCATTTTGCGTGATCTTCAGGAGACTAGATCTATGATTCGTTGGGTTCCCCATCAGAAAATGCCAATAGATGCTTTGACAAAAGAAGATCCTTCAAAAGCCAACGATGCACTGAACCATCTGCTGAAAACCGGATGGCTGAGTTTGGTGGACGTGGAAGATGAGCTTAAAGCTCGAAAGTCAGACGCGAGTTTTCGACGCAGAAGCCAGCATGCCAGTCGACAGAGATTGACTGATGAGTATGTAGAACAGATGAACAGCTTCTTGCAGTCCCTTTGGTCAATGGTAACCGGGGGGGATGTCGAATTTTACCACTGTCTGACACGTCACCATTTGAATTAGGTTTGACCAAAGGTTTCGCCACTTGACTTGTGGCTCAAGGCCCTACCGCTAAAACAGAGGCGCGTGCTGTTCATCCATGGGCTTCCAGCTGTTTCGTCATGATGAATATTGATGATCTACCTATGAAGAATATAGATTTTACGTCAATGATGGTTTTACCTTTAAAACATCATGATGTTCATCGATTTTCCACAGGTTTGATCACTGGAGGGGACGCCAGTGGCCACCAAGGAACGATCTCTTTGTCTCGCGTGGGCATCCCCGCTCAGGTGGTGGATCAGATTGAGGAGGAGCAAAATACGCAACTGCTGCGTGGCCGCGCGGATAAAAGGAGTGTGGCATGCGGTAAGCTGACATGAAACCATTGTTTATATGAGTGGTATAGTATTCAATGTTATTCAATGTATTTCATTGTTATGAAATGCTATTCAGTGTTAATTCAATGTTATTCATTGTTATTCAATGTTTCCTTTATGAATCAGCCATAGTGTTTTGGAGGAATGTTTCACGTGACCCAAATGGAGTACAAGCAACTCCGCTGGGTGGCATTATGACAGTGCATGGCTTGCCTCAGTAATCTCAATACCTTTAACCCCCCTGAATTGACTGGTTTTTATACCCAGAACATTGTCCATATGGATCCATATGGTCGTCATATGGTGGTTTCAAGTAGCAGTTCATTTCACCTCGCTATGCCCAATATCTAGACAACTTACGTCGGAGATGGAAATTGGATGAAATTGGGAATCTTTGCAAGCAGTCTATGATAGATCAATATCTATGTTCCCTTTATATCATGTTTGGCGTCCTTTTTTCAAAAGAGAACATCATCAATGGACATATCTTACTGTCGAGGTCGCCGTGTGGCCATCACTGTCCGAAAAGGAACATTTTAGCAGGAAACAACCAGGTTTTTTTGTTAAACATGTGTAAACCATGAATGAATTACCCTCCGGTAATCTAACAGGGCTCTCGAAAATGGGTGAAGATGTGTTTGATTTAGGTCGATACTTTCCTCAAAAAATGGTGTCGATTTCCCCCTATTTTTCCATACCCATAGGATCCATGTATGCTATATATGGTAACATTTACCATCAATATACCCCCAATGTTAGCATATATACCATACATGGATCCTATGGGATAGCAAAGTGTTCAATGACCAGATGGTTTTCCGACGTTTTCCGGGTTCCGTGGGAATTGTCCCTGGAGATCCCTGGGAAGTTCGAGGTTTGTCTCAATCCTGAAGAGCACGCTGGAGCAGAGGAGATCTGCCGCTGGATGGCGTGGAGATGGAGGTGGACCAAGGTTTGGATTTCATGGTTTTTGTTACGTTTAACCATCCAAAAATGCTGATTTCTTGAGATATATAATAATGATATATATATATACCTCCAATCAAAATCTTGGCTTATGGAATATTAATGGGAGATCATGAAATAATGATAAATGATATACCTTGATTGCCGGTTTGTCTATGATTTGCTTCATTTTCCCAACGGGAAAAGCCGCGACGACTGGGGAATCCATAGGGAATGTGTGTTTATTTGTTTGGTTGGTAAACATCGGGATGTCAATTGTCTATACCTCGGGGCTTATACACCAACATTTCACACGCAGTTTGTATGGTTATGGTGATCCGCTACTATTTTCATGCTTCCCACATGAATGTGTTATGGATCTTTGAACGTCATTATGTAGATCCAGAATGATATAGTATGGCTCCACGTGCCACAATAATGGTCAATCCCAGGGGAAAAAAATGTGGTTATACTCAGTACTCCGTGGGCAACTTTGACAGTGTTTGATCTCATCAATGGGAACTTCAGGTTCCTAAAGTGGAGGTACGTTAGTACCAAAAAGGGCTATATTACTGTGGGGATATTCCCTGAAATTTAGCCCTTACGTAGGTCTTATACATGATATACATGGTAGCTGCAATGAAATGGTTCCTGAAATTGAGGTATCCAGAAGAATACCATGATTCCATATGATTCCACTTGGGGATACATTTTATTATTTGTTGCTTGCCAATGGGTCATTCTATGGTTATACTTAGTACTCCACCCAACTTTGTGTCAACTCGAGCTGACCGCTGATGGAGAGTCTGCTGAGGTCAAGGAAAGTCTCAAGATCTTGCCCCAAACCTTGAACTTCACGGTGTGCAAAGGCTACCTGACGCTCCCAAAGGGTTTCCAACATATTGGGACGGAAATCATGGGGAAGAGTTGAGAAAATGAGGATTTTACTATTAATGATCTTCCTCTTAATGATAATGAATACATATATTAATCGTTGAATCAGGTGTAAAATCAGTTGAGATATGATCTTCCAGATATTGATTACAACTGATCAAAAACGATCATCAGATGGGGAGATCATGAACATATTCAATGATGATTTGGTAATGCCATGGATCTTCAATAGATTTTCATGGATGCTTAACGGACAAGCGATGGATATTTTACTGGATGAGGATCCCAGAGGACCCTCCGGAAATGGAAAATCACCATCTTTGATAGGTAAATCACTGGTTGGTGGTTTGGAACCATGGACTTTTATGACTTTCCATATACTGGGAAGTATGATCCCAACCAGACTATGAATGGCAAATTACAATAGATAATTTTTGACATAACCAGAGGTTAGATCATATTTTTTTTTGAAGTGGCTCCACCAAGCAGCACTCCCAATATTTTGAGCATCGGAGGTGCACTTCAAAGGCGGAGGAAGCAGTTCCTAGAAACCTTTCTGGAAGGCCCATTTTTGGGCCCAGGGCGGGATTGGGCCACAGGGATTTCCCAGCCATGTTTGATGGCAGATGGTAAGTACTAAGTTTTTTTGGGGGGTTACAGGAAAGGACCCCTTTGCCAGTTTATTTATAAGCCATAAATGCTAAAAAAAATGGGATGATACATTCCATAAATGGGGTTATAAGTATAGTTCTAACTGCTAAAGGGCCATAAGTGTAGCAAACAGTGGGGATTTCATGTGATTCCACCAGGACCTTTGCGGAGGACCTGAACTTCTTCCGAATTTCATCCTGGAATCCGAAGGAATCCGATGCGTCAGTCATGCCATGGCATGATCCCCCCCAAGAGGATGCGCCTTTGGCCAAGTTGCTATAGCTCGTATCATAACTCATAACATGATAACAACAATAACAACTGATTATCAATAAGTTGTTATGTTATAGTTGTTATCATACTCATTATAGGATGATTTTAATGATAACAACTCATAACAAACAATATGTTTTTCTTGAACATGATAATGATACATAATGATATACTAATAACAACAAATAATAGCAATTAATAACAACATTTAATAAGAGCAATTATTAAGAAAAAATGACAACAATTAACAACAACAAATAATAGCAAATAATAACGACAAACAATAATAACACATAATATACAACTACATATCATCAATGAATCGGTTGGTGGTTACTACATGATTTCCTCTCGAGGAGTCCAAAACGTGGCGGATGGCAGTTCATCGGCTGTGCCCTCTAGACGATTGGGTGGATGTTGCGGCACTAGCTCTCAGATTGATTCGAAGGGCACCAAGAACATGGACATATGGGTATGGATCAATACCTATTAATACCATGTTTAGGGGGTTATTCACATCCATAAATCCCAGCTATTTTGATGTGAACAGAAGGGGTACTATTGGTTTTGACACACTGCCACATGTTGCAATTACTGAGTATCCGCTGGTTGGTGGTTTTAGATGTATTTTCTTTTCAGTTCTACTTCTCTTCTGGTTAATTCAAGTGAAATCTATTTGGGTCTGATGATACCAATTGAATGTAGTGACTATAGTCATCTATGATCTAATATTTTGATTTCAGAGGATATCGCAGGCATTTCTATCCATTAGCCAATATCAGCCCCTTGGTGTCAGGTCAACTGGCAATTCTACAGGCCACACTTGAGCAGATGCAGGCACCTGTCTCGGGGATTGTTGCTGGCTCGCGCGCCAAGAACCACATCAAACAACCGGGAATTTACAATTCTACAAGATGGTAACCTGGTTTCTTAGCTAAGTTAATTTATGGTGCTTTGAACATCCTTTATCGCTAACGGCGTTTAAAAAAAGGTAACAAACATAGCTGGGGGAGCACCAATGCCAGCTAAACCTTGGTACGTCCATGGGCAATGGCCCATTTATAGAGGTTTACCTATTAGACATGGTGATTTTCCATGGCTATGTTAAATAACCAGATGGTATTGGTTCTCTCAGATTATGCATGAAATTCGAAAAATACCGCAACAACCCAAAGACCAGGAAAATTCGTAGCTGTTGTGTCATCCATTGATATTTGCCCACCAGGGTACCAGGGTTAGAATATAGAACAAATGGAGGTGTCCATTTCGTCATACAGGTACCCCAAATCATTCAGTCGTATGACCATGACTTAGTATAGGTTAACGCATGGTGACTTGGGGGTCCTTGATGACTTAAGAAACCTCCATATAATATAACAATCCCCTTTGTCCGGCGACAGTCACTTGCAGTGACCATCTGAAACCCCTGGATCAGTTCAAACTGTTTTTCCCCGTGAGCGTGACGACCGTAAGAACTCGACAGCTGCTAAGTTTCAATGAATGAGCGACGAACAAGATACCTTGGTTGATTTATGATTGGGTATGAAATAGGGAGTTCTACCTCGGTTTATTATCGCCGCCCCTAATAGGGAAACTTATCAACCAACTTGCATAATGAGATGGGATAAGGCTATTCTGCGTGGCTCGTACATTCAGTCTCCCCAGAAGTATTGTCCATGGAATTTACAAGGACGCCTATTTAACAACCATATTTCGGGAAATAGGGTAACCATCAACCAGCTATCTTAGGGTACCTAGGGTTCCAAGGTTTGACTCATAGCCATATATTAAACCAAGTTGAAATGATCTGATCAGCCAATATTGGTGGAAATTATAGGGACCCCGAATGATGGGACCAGAAACCCAAAAGCCTTCTGTTACGAATTGGCTGGCGGCTGCGGCTGTGGTTCACACATGTCAGGCCATCAATCGTGATGAAATCCAGTTGGGAAATTTCAGCGTACCCTCTGGTAATTTAACATAGCTATTGAAAATGGCCATTTATAGTGAGTCTTCCCATTAAAAGTGGTGATTTTCCATAGCTATGTTAGTCTTACCAGAGGGTATCATAATTCTGGATTCACAGGCCCATTCTGAATGGGGACTTCCCGTTGGTGCTGCCCCAGTTGGCCAAGATACGAAGACTGTTGGGTTTATGTGAGCTGTGGTCAATACTCATGGTTAATAACCATTAATAGGGGCTAGTCATCCAATGGTTCATAGGGATTTATAATAACCATTATAAGGATCCTTATTGTGGATGGGATGACCATCAACCATATAGTGAGTATTGACCATGGCTCATGTGGAGTAGAACTATATTTAACGGATTTTAACGGGTTTATGAACCAACATAACTGGAGGGCACCACTAAATTGTTGCGTAGTTCGAATCACCATAAAGCCAACAGGCAATATAGTGAACTAAACCAACTTAGCGATTCGAAACTTGGGCACCACTTGCAGTGAATCCAAGCGATCAGTGGGCATATCCCTGTGGTCATCAATTGCCAGAAAAGTGCATTATGAACAAATCACAGATATATCATGATATATAGTCCATTCACTATCAGATAGCTTGGCAAAAATGATGAGCTGGAACTGTTTGGAGAATCACAACCACAACCCGCTTAAAACAACAATCAGCATGTCTGTTTCTTATCCTTTGATCATGTATGTAACCTGGCTACCTGGAAAGCCTTCGGAAAAAAATATCGGTGTTTTTTAGGGTTCTATGTTTGATCACCAAAGGACAACTCCTTGCTTTGCCCCTACAGTTATGGCCATTTCTTAGTTATAACTGGTTATAAATGAGATTATACATTCTATAAATGGGGTTATAAGTACTCATAACTGGTAAAGGGCCTTAACTGTATATTCAATTACTTCAGTTCAGTCCCTTTCTTTGTCACTTGCGTCGGTGGGTGAAGTGTCGGAAGATCCCTGACAGGACGCTGAGCAGGCAGAGGATGCTGATGAAGTTCAGGGAGAGGTGCCCCAGTTTCGAATCGCTAAGTTGGTAAAGAATTCACTGACTGTTGGTTATATGTTGACGACATCACTACATAATTAATGTGGTTAAAACAAAATGGCTTGTTTACCATCCCCCAGTCATCACCATGCTATATATATATATATAGGCTATAGGTGGTATGTTTACCATTCCCAGTCATGGGTGGTAAACATGACATTGTTTTAACCACAGTGGGGTTTAGGGTGATCCCAAAAATCCGCAAGAAGAAAAACCTCCTGTTCCGCTCAGTCGTCAAAGCCATGGTTAATGCTATACTAAGAACATCCAAGAAATTATTAAATGTGATTATGTATTTGCAAGCAATGGTATCGGTTGTGCATCACTAGTTACTCATCAGTGATATATTTTTCTGTGTATCCATGGTCAACCATTTGGATGCCTATTTGCTTTTTGCTCAGTTGAGATATCCACAATCATAGACATCATCCCAAAAATAGTGGTATGGAAATTTGGGTGACTTGGGATTTCATATTAACAGCCCCCTGGAACCCCAAAGAACCAGAAACAAATTAATTGTGGTTTCCCAAGTTCCAGCCATTTGTTACATAAGGATTCTGGGCCATATCATAGTGAAACAACCCCAATTACTTATCATGACTATTTTTCTGAAGGCTGTTTGGGTTCCAGGCAGTTGAAAATTGGGTAGTGTTCAAAACCGCTGTTGGTTGATGATTGTAGAGTATAAGGTAGCTTGGATGGGTAGTTTAATGCTGTTGTTTTTGGCTATAAATGGAAAATCACCAGCAAGCCAGCATTTTTTTGCGGACTGTGACCATCAAAGATTGACCATGATTATACTAGCCAATATTCATTGTTTGGTTTTTCAGAATCCATGAGCAAAGTTTCAAGGGACGAGCCGCCCGGTCGCACCACTTGATCCTGCCACGCTTTATCCTGCACTGATGAAATTTAAAGAACTAGCTAGCACAACTAATTAAATCAACTAGCATATCCAGTTTTAAAACTAGCAGAACTATTTTTTCGAAAAAAAGAACTCTTCAAATTTTAAAACTAGCATAGCTTTTAATTGCACTTTGATATCAACTTGGGAATTCTCCCAGTTATTGATCCCCTGGAGTGACCGGAAGTCGGGAAGTCGCCCTTTCGGCAGGAAGCGACGGGCGAAGAGGCAGAAGAAAGTCCTGACGAAGAGGTCTGAATTTGCCATCGATGTAGCCATGGTGTAGCCAAAATGTTGATGGTGTATCCATATAATGTGATTAAAACAACATAAACATCCATCCCCCAGTTTATAGGTGGTGGTATGGTTACCCTTCCCAGGAAAATGGTTTGAAAAAATGACATTGTTCTAACCACATATATCCCCTATTCAAGTAGCCATAGCCATGGGCTTTTCAGATACTGCAAAGACATACCCGTGGGGATGGATCAAATGATCAAGACCTACAGCTTGCCATTTTTGGGCTGAAGAAACGTCCTCTTCTAACCAGCTATGACTTAGGGTACCGGGTACGGGTGCTAGGGTTTTGAAGAAAATAGCTATATGCAAACCATGGTGCTGGTATCTATTCATAGTCACCCTAGAGTAGATAGAATATGGACAATTCAAACAAATCATCATTCAAACGGACATATTTTTCAAACATCCCATATTCTATCTAGTTCAGATGATTGTACCTGCATATAATGATGGTAAAACAATAATAAACCACCCAATGTTTGATGGTAACCATACCACCTATAAACATAGTGATGACTGGGGGATGGTAAACATGGGTTTATGGCATTGTTTTAACAACATTAGATGTATTGTCTCTACCATATTCATACGGGATTAAAAGCTGCATATACCATCCAGGCTGGTGGCTCAGTGCGTTCGGAATCGCGTTCAGTTGGTGCGTGCGTACAAATAACTCCAATTTCACTATGGTTTATGGATGTTTATAGATGTTTATAGTAGATATATCATGATGTATTGACATACTATGGTTACAAACCAATAAACCAACAAACATACCTGGGGGGGCACCACCTTGTATCTATTCTATCTAGTGCCTATGGTGATTTGTATGGGCTAAATACGTTGGCAAGTTTTTCAACACAGAGCTGGAACTCCAGTTGAGACATCCCAATTTGGGTTCTCGTACTGGTAATAATACGTGATAATTATCTGATTCTCAGTAATTAATTAATAAATTGATATCACAAATAAATTCAAATTGATAAACCCCAATCAATGATAGTTGATATATGTTGATATTGATGATATTGTTGGCCTTACCACACTAGTGTTTTAAGAAGCTTCCGTACACACTTTACATTTTGGGCTCCATTGTAGGGCGAAACCCACACCGTCATGCGCTACAGAAATGAAAATCGTATAGGTCGGATCAGGTCAAAAGATTTAAGGCCTCTGGGCAGAACGTTGAATGTATTACCAGAATTGTCATTGACAAAGATGTTAAGATGTTGTATATAAGCTCCATACTGCGACGTCAAAAAATCTCGGTTCCATCCCCTGATCCCATGGTCCCCACGTATGGTCACGTATGGTCACAGCGCCGCTTAAAATTGATGGTTCCTGTGGCCGTTTAGCATGACCATTTACAGGTGCTAAAAATCATTGCCAAAAAACCATGAATTGTTGCTCTTAAACGTTGGGCTTCGTGCTGCAATTTGATTCGGACTGGTACCCCCAAAATCATCCAAGTCATGACCATCATGACCATGACTTAGTATTGAAACTCGTGAAAGCCATGGTGATGCCCATGGATGCCCCAATTTAACAACCCTCCACATTGTTTTCCATAAACTATATATATATAGTTCTAAAGTTTTTAAACAAAAGTAACTATAGATATATCCAACCATGTGATTTTTTTATCCAGCCCATGGGGCCCATTATATTATGATATCCCCATGGTCAATCATCTACTGCCCTAATCCCATGGTCCTGCTTCAAGGCTCCTCCATTCGACCACCGTCAGGTCTGTCATCCTCGTAAACGCCGCCGGAGACGGCGGTAAAAAAGAGGGCCAGCGTAGTTCCGCGCAGCCAGGATTGATTGGTTAAAGTTATATCTGGGAATAGCTGTGGGTATAACAATGGATCATGGTAATGATATAACAATGGGTACAACAAATGGTATAACAATGGTATAGGCATAAGAATGGGTATAACAATGTTTATGATCTATATGGTATATTGCCCTATGGTATCACTATGTTTGTAACAATAGAACTAAATTAACCACTCAGTGAAGTAAATCCACTGTAGCTATGGTATAACAATGTGTTTTTCATCATCCTTGATATGGTTGCCCACCAACAAGGGTTGCCCACCTTGATCTTGTGATCCTTCGAAAGAAAAAAAAATAGCCAACCCCCCCCACAAGGTGGGGCACCATGCACCCGAAAAAACATCAAAAAATCTCCATAGTTATCACAGTGAAAAAATGATGTTGTAGGATGTTAAATATATGATATCCTATATCTCTAGTCTATGATTATAACTATGGTGAAATATATTGAAATATCTAACAGTTCACAACGGAACTGCACCCCACCCTCGCAGGTGCATCGCGAAGGTGCCACGCGCTTTGCACAGATTGAGCAGAACATCAAAACGATGACGGAGCGCGGAGCAAGCTTTGGGAGGCTTTATTGATTACAGTATCCATCCTGAAATTTGTTGATTGTAGATTTTGGAGATGAATAATTAAGATTTTGTGTAATTCAGATAATATATGTATATACAATATTCCTGGGTCTTCGATCGTTACATTATTTTTTGCTACCCTGTACTTTTGGGGCAATCGAGCATATATCCAGGATCGTTATCAAAATCATAAATAGCGTGCATTTTCAATATCTGAGAGCGATTTGGAGCAAAAAGCATGGCCGCAATGTCGGGCGCAAATAAGCGCAATCGAGCGCACATAAGCGCAATCGGGCGCGAATTAAGAAAAGAAATCTGGCCAATAGAGCTTAAGGAGCATTTTTTTCAAAATATCGAGCACGTCAATGTCCAATCGTTATGGAATTTTTGGACACGAGCAAATCGCAAAAAAGACAAAAAATGTAGCAATTGAAGATTCAGGAATCCAGGTATTTAAGACTTGATGTATATATATACATAGTATTTGTATAATATATGTATGTCATTATGTAACATATCATATAAGCAGATACACCATACGTGTATATATATATATGCATGCATACATGCATACATGCATACATGCATACACATACACACACATACATACATACATACATACATCCATGCATACATACATCCATGCATGCATGCATGCGTCCGTCCGTCCATCCATCCATCCACACATCCATCCATACATCCATCCATCCGTCCATCCATCCTTCCATCCTTCCATCATGCATGCATACATGCATACATGCATACGTGCATACTTGCATACATGCATACATGCATACATCCATACAGACAGACATACAGACAGACAGACATACAGACGTACAGACAGACAGACATATATACAGACAGACAGACATACAGACATACGGACAGACAGACATACAGACAGACAGACATACAGGCATACAGACGTACAGACAGACATACATACAGACATACAGACAGACAGACATACAGACATACAGACGTACAGACAGACATACATACAGACATACATACAGACAGACATACAGACATAAAAGCATACAGACATACAGACAGACAGACATACAGACATACAGACACACAGACATACAGGCATACAGACGACAGACAGACATACATACAGACAGACAGACATACAGGCATACAGACGTACAGACAGACATACATACAGACATACATACAGACAGACATACAGACATAAATGCATACAGACATACAGACAGACAGACATACAGACAGACAGACATACAGGCATACAGACGTACAGACAGACATACATACAGACAGACATACAGACATACAGACATAAATGCATACAGACAGACAGACATACAGACATACAGACAGACATACAGGCATACAGACGACAGACAGACAGACAGACATACAGACATACAGACAGACAGACATAAAGACATACAGGCATACAGACGTACAGACAGACATACATACAGACAGACATACAGACATGAATGCATACAGACATACAGACAGACAGACATACAGACATACAGACAGACAGACAGACATACAGGCATACAGACGACAGACAGACATACATACAGACAGACATACAGACATAAATGCATACAGACATACAGACAGACAGACATACAGACATACAGACAGACAGACATACAGGCATACAGATGACAGACAGACATACATACAGACAGACATACAGACATAAATGCATAGGAACATACAGACAGACAGACATACAGACATACAGACAGACAGACATACAGGCATACAGACGACAGACAGACATACATACAGACAGACATACAGACATAAATGCATACAGACATACAGACAGACAGACATACAGACAGACATACAGGCATACAGACGACAGACAGACATACATACATACAGACATACAGACAGACATACATACATACAGGCATACAGACGTACAGACAGACATACATACAGACAGACATACAGACATGAATGCATACAGACATACAGACAGACAGACATACAGACATACAGACAGACAGACATACAGGCATACAGACGACAGACAGACATACATACAGACAGACATACAGACATAAATGCATACAGACATACAGACAGACAGACATACAGACATACAGACAGACAGACATACAGACATACAGGCATACAGACGTACAGACAGACATACATACAGACATACATACAGACAGACATACGTACATAAATTCATGCATACACGCATAGCAGTGTGTATGTGTAGGTATACAAGCCATTTTGGACAAGTGTTTTTGTTACTGTTTGTGTTGGTGTTTGCTTATGTCTCCCCAATATTATACGCCTGGAGGCGGCACGCCACCCGAACACATGCCGAATAGAATGTCAGATAGAATGCCATGAATGTCAGATTGTCGGAGTATATGCCAGAAAGAATGTCAGAACTTCAGAATGTTTATGCCATATATACTTCCAGGTGATATGTCAGAAACTATGTCAGAATGTGAGAATAGTGTGTCAGGCTGGGGATCACTCGAAGGACAATAATTATCAACTATCAAAGCTTGACCGTGATATTTTGTGTTAGTTAGATGTTTACCTCACTAACAATCATGTTTTAGTACTAACCTTGAAATGTTAGATGTTTACCTATCTCATACGTGTACAACTAACAATCAGGTCTTTCATTTCAAGGTTTTCGTACACGAATCGGCATTGCTACAGCTGGCCAGGAACATCCCGAAGATGTCCCAGGGCTTTCCTTGGAAAATGATCCAAACATGGTGGATATTTATCCCCGTGGCCGTGGGTGAGCACATTAATAAAAATGGTGAACTAACGAAACATGAAACACCACAGTTATGTTTGTTGGATTTTGTTGCTATACACCATGGTATATACACCATGGTAACTGTTCTTCGATATATTTACCATAAACCCAAGAGTTCTCGGAACTCTAAACCAGTTCCTAACCGCTTAGCCTCTGCTTATTAAACGTAGCTATGGGAAATCACCATGGTTTGATAGGTTTTTTCTGGGTAAATCACCATAAATCATCTAAACATGGGCCATCTATACCGGTTCGCAAACTGGTTTTCATAACCAGGGGGTATAACTCCTCCGGTGATCCCTGGCTGCCAGGAGGATTACACCCGAGGCACCACGGAAGTGAGATCTCAAATGCGTCAGCCCGGCTCCAAGGCCACAGGTGGGGTCTACAGAAATCTTTCGTGGATGTCATGGGTTTCTACATCTGTATATATATATATATATATAAATAACACAAATATACAGCAAATATATGCATATATATATATATATACATATGTCATATATATATAAATAATATAATTGTAAATTATGTATATATATATATGTACATTCTTCATAGATAGGAAAGGTGGGGCTTGGACAACCCCAGTGAATGTTGGAAAAGAATACAACAAACATGGGAAACTCCTGCTCATTACCAATAAAAGCAGTGTATGCATCTAACTGACAAGTTGGTGGTCCTCCTCCTCCATGTTGGGAGGTTTGTAACTGGGTGGTAGTACCTCAGGTATCAAGGTTCATACTATTTGATTAATGTTAGTAAAGCAATGTCAGAAACCACCCATATTTTGATGGTTTATCCCACCCATCGACAGCATCGACATGGGAAATTTGGGGATGGTGGATCCTATTCCTTTAGCAACATTGCTTATGTGGATGGCAGTAGGTTGCCTTTATGGTTATTTTATTTGCTTTAGATCCATCCTATTCTACAGGTTGGATCCTACCCACTGCGACATATAGAGGGATCGTAAAAAAGTAAAACAATTCGCAGCTGCTCAAACGACAGGCTGCTGTCGCGTAAAAAAAATCACCAACCACCAGCAACTTCTATTCCCTGCTCTTGCTGGCTTTCTACAAAAAGTTGTCAGGCTATACATCACACGTTTCATAGTACTCGTAACAAGCTACACAAATGACCACAGATATTCTCATGAAATTCTGGATGTGCCAGATGTTATTACTTCGAAACTATGACTATATTCATCAGCAAAACAGAAAAACAACACAAATCTTGGATCTTCCATGGATTTTCCCTGACATTTTTCCATTCATTTTCCCATCAGTTTTGGGTGTCCAATCAGATCCGTTACCGTTACCAGCGGCGCCATGGCGGATTCTCCGCTGGCCCTGAGCTCCGAATCCTCCAATTCCATGGTGCGGGGGCCATGGACGGCGCAGATGGGCGCAGGGTTTTGATGTCCCATGGCGCAGGGAGATCTTGAAGAAAAAACGATGGAAAATCACCATTGTTTACCCTTTGGTAAACTAACATAGCTATGGAAAATCACCATTTTTAATGGGAAAACTCACTATAAATGACCATTTTCAATAGCTATGTTAGTTTACCAGAGG